GTAAAATCTTTTAAAAATAAATAAATAAATAAATAAAGAGAGGATGGCCACCATTTTGATCATGGTAATGTTTCCCAACCTCAGCAGCTCTCCAGTACTCAAGGCAGGAAGGGACTTCAAAAGAAAAAAAGGCAGAAGAAAAGAAAACCTAGATTCTTCATAAATCAAATATAAGCTCATCCTACGGTTATCTTCTCAGAAAGGTATTTGTTTCAGTTCAGTCTGCAAAAGGTATCTAAAAAGATGGAACAAAATCACATAAAATAATTTGCACCCTGATTGCCCATAAGAGGATGATGACTCTACTTCCAAACACTACTTGAGGAAGAAGAGAAGTAAATGTTCACATTTGTAAACTCCCTGACCAGTGTTTTACTGGGTGTTCAACACATAATTCTGGGAACAATAGAATACAAACACAAGAAGATGAATATCAACTATTATTATACTAGGACTCCCAGATATCCTTTAGGACACTGTCACATCACACTGTCTCCTCCTTCCCTGGCGATGGCATTTCTCCAGAACTATTCACCTGGCAAAGAACCTCTCTCCTGCAGATGGCCACCAAACAGTAAAACACAAAATACAGCTGAATTTCTCTTGTACTTTCTTTGCTTAATGTGGTTTTAAACAACTCTCACTTAACAGAATTGTAACCATACATAGTAATAATCCTATCACTGAAAACTTTCATGAAGTTGCTATCTCCCTTAACTGCTCCAAGCTTTCTAAAAGTCAAAAGTACAACTCTAGTTTGTAAATATTCAGTCTCAATGTTTTTTTGTAGTCATATGGACAACATATTTAATAGTGAAACTTCAGTCAAAAATTAATCAATAGGGGCGCCTGGGTGGCTCAGTTGGTTAGGCGACTGCCTTCGGCTCAGGTCATGATCCTGGAATCCCAGGATCGAGTCCCGAATCGGGCTCCTTGCTCAGCGAGGAGTCTGCTTCTCCCTCTGACCCTCCCCCTCTCATGCTCTCTCTCTCTCATTCTCTCTCTCGCAAATAAATAAAAATCTTAAAAAAAAAAAAAAAGAAAAACTGAGTTCTGAAAATGTGGGGAGAGAGAGAATGAAGACATGTGGGATTCTCTTACTTCTTGACCTAAGGATATATGAAAGAAAAGGAAGAAGACAGGCCAAGAAAAGCCTCTGGGGGAGAATCTACAGACATTACAAAAATAGGAGTGAACAAGCTTTGAGGTGAATATTATCAATTAGAAGCAAAAATCACAAGACTGAACCAAGTCACAGCTAGAAAAACTCTCCCTTCCTTTGACTTAGAGAAATCTACATGGCAGCACCTGTAAACATTTTATTTCTGAATGACCTTGTTTCCAGTTAAAGGACCCTAATCAATGGCTAGACCCAAAAAACTCAAACTCTTTGAGAAACAGGCAACTAAGAGTTCACTCACACTCCTCTCTATGGGTATGCTGTGCAAAGAAGAACCCTCTGGAACAGTAGCTCATCAAGTTTAAGGTTCATGATATCAGGGAAAAAAAAAACAGGAAGGGGTAACTTAGAAAAATACATTCCAAGAATAAAAAGTGACAACAAGGAAATGTCTTCACATCTAATAGAATGACTACAATTAAAAGCACTGAAGAAAAGGAAACCAATGAGAGAACCAAATGCTGGCAAGGAAGACAGAACTCTCATACATCGCCAGTGGGAGTATACAAGCACTTGGTAAAACTCTTTGGCAGTTTCTTATACACCTTCCCTAAGGTACAAGCAATTCTACTCCTAGGTGCCAGGGAAATGACAATATATGTCACAAAAAGACTCACAAACAAACGTTCATTGTATCCTTACTCATAACAGCCAAACACTGGAAACAACCCAAATGTCCATCAACAGGAAAATGGATCATCAAATTGTGCTGCATTCACACGAAACACTACTGAGTAATAAAGAGAAACAAACTACTGAGACCCAGAACAACATGGATGAATCTCAAGCACTGCGCTGAGGGAAAGACGGCAGACACATAAGAGTATAACCATTCAAGAGGACTCCATTTATATCCAAGTTCTAAAAGAGACAAAACTCATCTAAGGTGATAAAAGTCAGAACAGTCCTCACAATGGGGGCCAAGGAGTGACTGGAAAGGGTGACATAAATGTTCTGTTCTTGATCGAAGCGGTGGCTACATGGATGTTAAAACTCAAACTGGAGATTTTTAAATGTGTGCATTTTATCATTTAGAAAACAATAAAACAGAACGAAGGCATGGTCAGCCGTGACATAGGCCTCTAAGAGTCAAGAAAGATGGAGAGAAGCGGGTTGTCTCCCTGCCAATGGTGGAATGGAAGCCCAATGTGAATGGAATGAGGAAAGATGGGGGCAAGGAGTAGACAGAGCAAATGCAGACAAGTTGTTAAACGAATAACAAAAAAAGATAGGGTCGAACTTGGTAATAGGCTGACTCAGTAGAACAAAAAATGACTCACCTGTGAATTAAAAGCCAAAAAACAGGCACCACGCTGGGCATAAAACTCCAGTGTCCAAGCCCAAATAACATTAGGAATCAAAAAAAAAAACTCCATTTCTAAAACTAGGGAAGCAGGCAGGAGAGACTATAAGAGGAAAATGAAGAATTCTCATTTCGTTTCAGACTCTAATGGGTCATCCAAGTTTCAGGAGAGTCATTTTTTGTTACTAACCCTTAATAACATCATCTTGCATTTGCATAGGACTGAATTTCCCATCAGACTTTATACTTGTGTTCTCACTAATCCTCACAAAACCCCTATAGAATACTGTTACCCCATTTTAAAAGAGGAGAGGAAATCACAGTTCAGAGCAGTTCAATGGCTTGCCCAAGATCACATAGCTAGTCACCTTAAACCCAAGCCTTCTGATTCCAATCAAAAGATTTTTCCATTATGCCACACCTGCTCCTCTCTACAAGATTACAACCTCTCTTTAGCCTAGCACACATTTTTATCTGTGTCCCTCTAGAACTCACCACTATTTTCAATGCAGCAAAAACCTGCAGAAACTGGGTCATTTTCAAACACAGTCCACAAAGTACAAAAGGAAGGTTACGGATAACCAATTCTAGAATACCTTTAATTGGTCCTATCTTAAACTACGAGCCTGAGCCCCAGGAGGACAAGATGCTGCAGTGAATTTATGGAGCTTTAGGCACCGCAGGCGAGGTGGCCAACTCTGCAAGTCATCCTCGGAACCAACTAATGTATTTTACCACGAACATGGCCAGCACAGATTAAATGTGAGCAACCAGGCAACCCCACAACTAGGCACTATACACATTTCTCAGCAAATGCTTCCCCTACCATTTATGTCCCTTATTCTTATTCCCAAACACAAGAGCTAAATATTTTCATTATGTGATTGGTCTTTAAAGGTTGAATCAACTCTTTTGCTTTTGCAGAGTTATATTTTTAAGTAGTTTCATAAAAGCAGTTGTTATATAAATATGTTTGGAATGTTTGCTGAAAGGAACAACAATTCCGGGGCGCCTGGGTGGCTCAGTCGTTAAGCGTCTGCCTTCGGCTCAGGTTATGATCCCAGGGTCCTGGGATTGAGCCCCACATCAGGCTCCCCGCTCTGCGGGAAGCCTGCTTCTCCCACTCCCCCTGCTTGTGTCCCCTCTCTCGCTGTGCCTCTCTCTGTCAAATAAATAAATAAAATCTTTAAAAAAAAAAAAAGGAACAACAATTCCAAAACAATACCCATCTTTCACATGCTATGTTCCTGTGTAATGAAATCTGTATACAAAGGATTAAATCATCTAAATCATTTACAAGTCTAAAGATAAACTAGTTTGTAGGATAGGAGACAAGGCATTACTAAGATATATTTCATTTTATTTTTTAAAAAAAAAAACCTTGAGAGTATAAAATTAAATTGAGCCATGTTTTCAAGGACAGAGGTAATTAAGTCCAGAGATTCAGCAGCTGGTGGCATTGCTGGCTGATAGACTAAGGAGTCTCTAAGACACTGCCTGGGACAGTTGAACAAGATCGCCTCTTACCTGGATGCATCTGCTCTGTGCTGCTCCGCAGTTTGCTGTAGCCATGGCTCAAGGGCACCCTCTGGTAATGAGGCGGGGAAGAAGGAGGGGAGGCGAGGGGTGACATCGTGGGAGACTGTGTTTCCTGCTTCAAAAGAACCAGAGCAGAGTTCAGAGCCAATCACTCGAGAAGCCTGGCACTCTGAGCTGCAGTTATGAAGTATAATGCAACTCTATTGCCGGCGAGATGCCTGATTTAACAAATGGAAGGAATGTTTTCTCAAAAACACAGTTTGGTTAAAATGCCGTGTCTGAGGATTCACATCTCCCAGAGAACAAAGTCTCACCAGTGCTTAGTTGCCTAAATTACTAAAACAAGCCTGAAATGCTTTCAGTTATTCCGCTAAAATTTTCCTTTGGAAAATGGAAGACAATGATCACATGAAAAGGCATTCATACGTCCCAAATCTGATCTCTTTGTGGATAAATTCAAATTTCATTCATTAATAAAGGCTCCTATTTCCTGGATTTACACTTATCAAGTCTTCTAGCAAAGAAAAGAATATTTGTATGGCAAATTTCTTTGTCTTACAGAAGATATTATATTGAATATAATTTGACTTTTCTGCATGATTCAGTACCTTTATTAGAAGCATGAGCTGTACCTTGATGCCCTCAGGGTTTACTAATGTGTAAGACTATTTACCTCTTTCTTGATAGGCTCACTCTTCTGAGATATTATACTTCTGTCTCTATCAATCACCACCTGACTATAGCAATTAGTGCTCTAATTTTAAAAGCCCATCCTCCCTATCCTTGTCCCTAACCTGCTAAATGTGTAATGGCAGCATTTCCCAAGATGGAATTCCAAACATGCTCTGCAAGAAAAGATTCCCTGGTCAAAGAAGTTTAGTAAACACAAATCTCCAGGTCTCTTTACAGCAGGACTTCTCAGGGCCTTGAATGTGCTAATGTGCACTATAACTCTCCAAGCCTGAAGATGTAGTCTTTCCCCCAAGAAAAGAATATGAAGCAGCATTCTCCAAACATATTTAACCACTGAAACCTTTTCTCCAAACTTTTTGTGAGGAGAGGGTCCATTAAAAACTCCTAGCGATGCCTGGCTGGCTCAATCAGTAGAGCGTGTGACTCTTGATCATGGAGTCCTGAGCTAAAGCCCCACGCTGGGTGTAGGGTTTACTTAAAAAAATAAAAAATAAAAAAACTCCTATAAGTTACATTTCAAAGAACCCATTTGGAAGTGCTGATTAGAGAAATCAAGTAAGTGTGTTAAATCAGTAGTTTTACTTTGGACACAGTTCTACATTCAAGTAGGCTCTAAAGGGCCCAGGGGTGGCTATATGTCAGCTGCTTTTTCTTGCTACAAGGAAACTTTACTGGCTGACTTCCAAGTCTATAATTGAATCCCAGATGGTGAGGTTTGCTAGAAGCTTGACAGCAGATATGAGGCACTGCTATGTGAGGTTTCATGGTCAGAATCAAAAGGACATGCCTTATCAGACTGTTTACCTGTTTATCCTCATCGTCCATTCTTTTGAAGGTATTTTTTTCTGTGATTAAATATGGAATCTGAACCTTAGCGCCATGCAGTTCCGCCGGGTTCCCGAATCGTATGTCAGCATCAGTCTTTGACATCATAAAGCGAGGCAGTGGCAGTTCTTTAGGACCAGAATCAGAGAAGCTCAAGTAAGGCTTCATTTTAAAACTGTGAAAAGCGGGACTCAATGGCCAAAAGATGAATCACTTTTGAGGAAAAATTCCAGAGCACTAAATATAGATTAAATTTTTATTTTGACATAATGAAGACTCCTATAATAATGCCGTGAGAGAAAAATGCTTCTGCTTTACACCAAGGCGTTCTGGCTTCACATTTTTAAATGCTGTCAAATCATTGCAGAGGATATTCAGGTTGTGGACTGCTCTCCCACCTCAGCCTTTAGTCCAGCACCAGCAAGAAGGATGTGATATTGTATAAACACAGTAAGTGGCAAATGAAGCAGGCAAAACCTATACAACACATATTAATATGCCAGACACTACTGTAAGATCTGCAAATGTTAAGTCATTTAATCCTCACAACAATTCAATAAGGTAAGAGTATCATTAGCCTTCTTTTACAGATGTGGAAACAAACACAAAGGAGCTAAGTAACACCCCCAAGATCGCACAGCTCATCATCTCTGGCAGAGCTGTCAGTGCCTAGAGCTGCTGCCCTACAGACAGGCCCCTCATTCCTAGGGCAAACTTACTGGGTAAAACAGGTTTTCACCCTATGTCATTCCTTAAGGAATTTTCACACTCGATCTCCAATTGTCTTTTCATAATAGAATAAGGAAAATGGTATCAAGTTAGAGCCATCAGTCCAACGTTCAGCCAGATTCTACTGTCAAAACCAATAGCCACACTCACAATGCTACAAAGAGCTGAAACGCAACAGTCTGGAATATTTACTTATCTCTCAAATATCTGATAAAACTATTCTGAAACAAATGATGCTTTGGCACACTTTTAGTTCTCAGCACAGCAAATCACACACAATCACACAACACAAAGAACTCCAAAAATGCGGATAATATTATGGATTATGCATAATGATTTGCATCTGTATCCATTGTTCAGGATAATACTCATCACCGTGCCTCTGCACTTCCATCAGCGCTCTATTCCAAACACAGCTGCATTTCCACTGATTGATGCTGTGCTAAAGCCAGAAAACATCTTAGCAACAACAACCAAGTATCCTAGCTCCCCAGGCAAAGAAGGCCCCTGGTTCTCTAATATCCACATCATGTTTATTTTTAGTTGCTATGTCCACATTTGATTCAAAGAAGTAGGCAATATGATGACTCCCTGCATGATCAATCAGCCAAAGGCCCAAGAGACATAAATAGAATAAGCAACCTGGAAAATTAAACCAGGACTCTCCTCTAAACAGAGGATGGCGGGGCGCCTGGGTGGCTCGGTCTGTTGGGCGGCTGCTTTCGGCTCGGGTCATGATCCTGGAGTCCCGGGATCGAGTCCCACATCGGGCTCCCTGCTCGGCGGAGAGCCTGTTTCTCCCTCTCCATCTGCCTGTCATTCT